GAGAGAAAGAGAAAAAGAATGTGTAGTAGATAGATAGATAGATAGATAGATAGATAGATAGATAGATAGATAGATAAGAAAGAAAGAAATAAGGAAAGAAAGGAAGAAAGAAAGAAAGAAAGAGAGAAAGAGAAAAAGAATGTGTAGTAGATAGATAGATAGATAGATAGATAAGAAAGAAAGAAAGAAAGAAAGAAAGAAAGAAAGAAAGAAAGAAAGGAGAGGTGGAAACATCAAGATAAGGGCGAAAAAGGACGGATACCAAGACGAAAAAATGGCGATGCAATAACTGACTTTTCAGTGTAATATACGTTTTCCTGGGAATGGTTTGGTTTTAAAATGCCATGTCTCTTCAGGACGCAGGCAATTATGTCTCTTAATATTTTGCTTAGATTCTCGAAGGCATCTTTTTTTTTTATACCTAAGCACATTCATATTTCTGTATCACATTCTCGGGTGGGGTTTATACTGTAACTATGCTGAGCGGACCTAAGTTACAGTTTCAGAGAGAGAGAGAGAGAGAGAGAGAGAGAGAGAGAGAGAGAGACGGACAGACAGACAGACAGAGACAGAGACGGAGACACAGAGAGAGACAGACAGATACGGAGACAGAGAGACAGACACGGAGACAAAGAGACAGAGACAGACAGACAGAGATAGACAGACAGAGACGGAGACAGAGAGACAGAGACAGAGAGAGACGCAGAGAGAAAGAGAGGGAGAGATTTTAATCAATTGATTAATAAAAACTGTTTCATGGAAAACATTTGAAACAACCGTTTTGTAAAAACGTTTTCATAGGAATCATGTTAATCAAACGATTAATAAAACAAACCTGTTACATGGGAAGACTTTTAATCAACTGATTCATAAAAAAACTGTTTTACGACAACATTTTAATCAACTGACTAATAAGAACTGTCTTCACGCAAACCATTTAATCAAATGATTAGTGAAACTATTTTCTGGAAGACCTTTTAGGCAACGGACTTATAAAAACGGTTTCATGGGAGACTTTTTACCAAAAATGAAACTGCACATCACCTTTCTTTTGCAGGATTGGTAACAGAACTAAAGCAATGACACCGATCTAGAGACACTACACAAACTTTGATCTAATCTAGTGATTCTCAGACAATGTGTTGCGGTATACTATTGTCATGGTATACATATAGACGTGTGTGGAAGTAGTAATGGTACAACATTCTTTCTTTCTTTTTATGTGCCATGTTCTTTTAGAATGTAGGCGATCGTGACTCTCCATCTCCTTCTATCTCTTGCAGCTCCCAGCAAACCCCTTCCCTCTGCTTCCAACCCCAGACCACGTTCTGTCATCCACCCGCTGAAGCTCATCAGGTATGTCACGCGCTGCTTTCCCTTGTCACTCTTTCGCTCTATTCGACCCGTGAGTATCAGATTCTCCAGGCCCTCCTTCCTCATTATGTGTCCCAGAAACCTCAGCTGCCTCTTTCTGATGTTAAGTATATGCCTTCTCCTTGTTTGGAACCTATCTAAGACCCCATCGTTGGTCCTTTTTTTTTCAAATAATTGTTTACACTAATCTTCGATTACCTTATTTTAAATACTTTGTTTTAATATTCATTTTTTTTTTTAAGTATTTTCATTTTTTAAATTTAACTTCTTAAAATTTTCTTTTATTTAAATAAATGAATATTAACCTATTTTCAGATAATTGTTAGTTTCACTAAAAAAGACAGTTGTTATTTGGAAATATAGAGCAAGGTCGAGTAATTTTGATATGATCCCTATTATGCTTACCCATCCAAAAGCACCCGGAGAAAACATCGACTGCTATTTTCTGTCACTGAGCACAGAAAAGTGCGATTGGATTCAAAATCCCTTCATAAATATTGTTTCTAATATTGGGCTTCAGTCATGTGAAGAAGAAATGGCCACCATTTTTTGTGATTGAGGTCTCAAAATAAAACATTCGACGGTAACCATTGATATATTTTGGATTTCAATACAAAAGGAATCCCCCACATTAGCTAAAAAAGCTTTACCAGTTTTATTGCAATTTTCTAATTCTAATTTATGTGAATTAGTCTTCTCAACCCGAAATAATATTAAAAATAAAAAAGCGAGAAAGACGGCGGTCAATTGAAGAAGAAATGAGGGTCTACTAATCGCACATTCGACCAAACATTGAAAAAATCGCGAAAAGAATTCCAGGTACAGAATTCACACTAAGCTTCACAAATAGTTGAGTAGAAACATAAAAGTAAGTTCATATTAGTGTGTGCATTAAAAAAAATCTATGGTTTTAAATGAAAATGGTGGTCTCTATTCGCCATACACTGTTGCAGACGATTTCTAAATTTTTCCATCACCCGGATTATCGAGCGCTTTAAATTTAAAACAGCTAACCTTATCCTAAAAAATAACGAAACACAAAGAACGAACATTATTTATTAGTTCAAATGCCCCTTAACGAATTGTTTTTCTGATCAAATCGAACTCATAAATAATTGCATAGGTTACTCAACTACATGCCTATCCAAACGACTTACGTTACACCTATCCGACCACAGATCTATTAGAACCCATTTATTAACTCACACAAACCTACCAAACTCCATACGAAACATACTAGTAGAAAATACATAATATCCTCATTCACATGTAAAAAAGATTAAAAATAATGGAAGCCTTAACAACAAAAGAAAAAGCCAACACTCAATAACATTAACTACGAACACGGCCACAATGTGTATACTGTATAACTATCGAAACATACACACAACCCATACATCCAGTTAAAAAGTGTTGTGGATTCCGAGATGAATTCGGTCTCCAATGAAGAACAAACGCAATAATTAAATATAAGAAATAAGATGTATTTACACAATCATACAAAGGGTAATACTGTTAGTAAATCCAGGAACACGGTTAGTAGCAAATACAGATAGATATATACAGTCTCGAAGTAGGACTTCCTTAGAGTCTACGTGCTTGTAACTGACTTCTACAAGAGGCTACCTCACACTAGCTCCGTTCGTATATTCTCTCTCTCTTTCCGACTACCCTCACTGACTGTCTAACTCTGAGTATTTAACGGCAGCAGTCCAGGTACACTGGTAGAGTCCACTTATATGAAAAAGGGGTGGACCCCATAACAAAAAGTAAAAATAAATTCATCCTTGATAATGGCTAATAGTATAGCCGAGAGCGCTCGGAATTACAGAACATTTGGACAGTTTTTACACACTCTGTACCCAGAAAAGAAAATACTTGTTCGAACACAAGAAAAATTAAATAAAAAGCTTAATCGCAGTACCTTGTCTGTCGTTTTTAATGCAACATATATAAATGAAATTGATTGCCGCCTAAATACAGGGTATATATATATATATATATATATATATATATATATATATATATATATATATATATATATATGCCCTCGAAAAAATAAAATTCGGTCGAGCACTTTAGAGAGATAGCGCGAATTTGTGAACAGTGACTGCTATTGCTGATAATGCAAAGCTCTTCTGTGAATTGAGCACTTTAAGTCGTCACAAAAATAAATACGTAAAACTCACTTTCCTCTCTGCCAGAAGCTGATAGCTTAGGGAAAAAAATCTCCGACTGATGCCAAATCAGTTGCGCCTCTGTCTTTGGACAATATGCGCTCAGGGGTGGCTCCGTCAAAGTACAGATACGCAAATGAGAAAAATTATACTGAGAGGTGCCCAGCCCTGAGGATCAGTTGCCCGAGGCCGCGCCCTCTCATTGCACTAGAGAGAAGGATCTGTGCTCGCACCGAGGCCAGCGCAAACGGCGGTTGCGGGGGATCGGGGAATTGTTGTTCCTAGCCCGGGTGTACGCGCTCGGGATCCCCATATTAAATCGACCTTGCGTCACAACTTAACCTCCTGGGAGGATTGAGTAAATACAAATTACTATAAAGTAGTTTGTAATACCCTATTTACCATCTCTCAGTTGCGTCTTTAAATTAAGAGGCAGCAGAAGAATTATCGATAAACTTTTAAAAGGTAAGCTTAAATATTAATTCAATACTTAAATGGATACAAAAGAAAAATAAGAGTTACTCCCCTTGAACCATAAAAGCAACGATAATGGCTAGTATAATGTATTAATATATATCTTTAACCTCGCATAATCTGGCAACCCTGAATCTAAGCTCAACAAAAGAATCGTTCCCTGTGCCTTACTTTTCTAGGGCTTTTGAATGAACAATGAATTATTGAAATCGGACCAGTAGGAACGAAGGAATTGCTTGGATACACACACACACAAATTTACACATATACACTGTACTTTATATATAAGATTATCGGATTAGTTTTTTCCTTACCGGTGTAGAGAAACTGTTATCTGCAAGGAAAGACTAATGTCTGACCCAATCTGTTACGTTCACTTTTACACAAAATACCCGTAGAGAAGATATGAATTCATTTGTTCTCTCTCCCCCAGCTGTGTGTTAAATAACTAGAGGCTTGCGTGGCAGACATTCTTGAAAAGAATTCTATGAAAGTGTGGAAAAAGCAATGGGAAGATTCTTCCGTATTTTCCACAGAAAGCCATGGCAATTCACAGATATTAGAGAGGGAAGTTTTGTAGAGATATAATTGCCCGCGTTTGGTAGGAACACGGCATTTTAAAATCAAATCATGTTCCGGGAATCTTATTTTACACTGAAATGCCAGTTAACAAGTCGTCATCTTTTCTTCTTGGTTTTCTCCGTTTCTTTCTTTTTTCTTTCTTTCTCTCTCTCTCTCTCTCTCTCTATATATATATATATATATATATATATATATATATATATAATATATATATATATATTTATATATATATATATATATATATATATATATATATATTTATTTATTTATTTATTTTTTACGCGTCTATCTTCATTATTTGTATATCACTTTCCATTGTATTTTCCAATCTTGTTTTTTTCTCCTCTTTCTTCTTTTCCTCGTTTTCTCCTTCTCCCCCTCCACGTCATCTCAATGCCTTTTTTCTTTCCCCTTTTTTCCGAGTCTTCTTCCCCCTCCACTTTCCTTCTCTACCTATGCCTTCTTTCCTGTTATATTTGAAACGCTTTCTTTTTCTTGCCTTTTCATTTTTTTTTCAACGTTCTTTCACATCAACTTCGCCTCGAAGACTTTTAAATCATTGAAAAAGAATCGATAAACGTTCATTTTCTGCCACTGTTCGGTTGCGATGAAATTATTATCTCTGTCCTCTCCGGCATAGCACCACTTCTCACTACCCACACACTTGTATGTACATTCATACTTAGGTATCTGAATTAATATGCAAACACTTGGACGGACATATGCAAGTCTGAACTTTTACGTACGCGCTGGATATTTATCGTCTTGCTTTGTAGAGAATGGCTGCCATGTTTCGTAAAGATGTCGGGTGTTATTATATATGCTAATTGGTAGCGACCTAATATTTAACTGAGCGGGTACAGCTAAAATATTGTCAAACAAAGCCTTAGTACCGTCATCGTGCTTGCGTAGTTTGTTGAAGACATCATAGTTCGCGGAAAGTTCTTTGTCCTCGAGGCCAGTTCCGTCTGTAGCAATATAGTACCGCCATTGACTAAGGCTGAGCACTATGTGTTCCTTTGCTTACTGGGGGTTATGCGAGTCGTGATATGGACGACGCGACAGAAGGAATTCCATGGGGACGAGAAGTTTACTTCTTCCCAACTGATCCTGTTTTTTAAGCATCAGCTTAAAGTCAAGATCAGGACGGAAAGGAAACGACTTCATCCATTGGAATTTGGCGAAAGGTGGGTGAGTCTTGCGCGTCTCTGCTGAGTGAAATGTGCTGACTTAGAGTGGCATTTTGATGCCGGTTAGGAGGATATTGCTTTTGCTGGGTTGAACATTGGCAACCCTCCCATTAGTGTATAAAGAATCGTCATAATCGTGATAATAGTTTAGTGTAGGTCGTTTTTTGTTTTAGTTTTTTCTCTTTAGTAAACTTAGCTAGGGTGTGTGCTCATTGGCCCATTTTATTTTTTCTCCCTATTTTTTTCTTTTGGCTTAATTCCCCATCCCTCCCATCTTTAGGTGGATAGTGATGTCAGTTTTCTGGTGGGTGCGGGGCGTCTTTCGTTTCGGGTGTGACTTTCGTAACGGTTTTTGTGTTTGGATGTGTGTTTGATTGAGTGTTTGGGATATATGTTTTATATTTTTTTAAAGCCCCACATTGATTCGTACAGTGAACTGATGTTACTGCCATAGTTAGGGCTTTGTGTTTTTTTTTTTTATTAATAACAAAATTTTGTTTAGTTTCTTGTATATAGTTTTGTATACATTTGTAAATATTCATTGTTTTTTTTTTTTTTTTAGATTTTTGTTATTTTATTCCCCTCCCCCAACAGACAATGACTTGTATATATGGGGACTAGTTAGGACTTCATTGAGTTCCTGAGGCATTATGGTGTATGTCGTAAGAATGGCAAGTAAGAATGAGTTGTTTTGGTGAAAGGAATATTGTTTGTATGTTTGGGTCAGTGTTTGCGGTTAGCTAAGTTTAATGTTAAGACAGAAAAAGACCATCCTTTTCCCCTTGTGCCCTATTTGTACAATTAGTACAATAAATATTGTCACCGTGCTTGCGTTGGACTGGCCACGAACCAACCTACGCCGAGTCACGATGGAAACTTGGCCAACAATGATTTGTTTCAAGTTGACACGTGCAAATCCATAACAACAACCAAAGAATTTTCAAGAGAAACAAACCTATCCCAAGTTCTGTTAATAAATTTTGTCTATACAGATGTGTTTCGATAATGATACCTAAGGAATCGTCCCCGAAACACGAGAAATATGACGAGACTGTCTCTGTAAACTTGAGAAAATAATTTACAAATGTACTTCATTTTGTTGTGTATAAGGCATTCTTTATTATACGCCTTGGTATTACTATATGCCTTGGTATTACTTATACGCCTTGGTATTACTTATACGCCTTGGTAATCGTACCAGTTTGTTCATTTGGGCCTTTGTACTCATAACATTTCGGTCGTAGTACCTTCCGGCATTCTTCAGGTGCATGTCGTAGGATTCGACAACCTTCCTGGAATTTCGAATTGAGCACTTGGTAACTAGTGAGACCCTATTTGCTCGATAAAAAAGAAAGCCAGGAAAATGAAGAAGAAAAACTTTTTTTTTCTTTTCTCTTATTTTATTTGAAACGCTAAGTTTTTAAAGAGGCCAGGTCACTGTAGCATCGAATTCCCCACACCCACGAAAGGGACTTCGTCTTTGTTTAATCTCCCTAACCCAACTAAACTCAGCGCATTTGATCCCTGGAATGAAGACGTATTTTTAGAGTCCGCTGCACACACACACACACACACACACACACACACACACACACACACACACACACACACACACATTCATTCACCTTTGTGTTGCAGTTCTGCATTCAATTACTGGAATTGTGCTGAAAAGTTGTAAACTTTGGTTCAGTAGAAAAAATGGACAAGCGACACAAAGACTGGTAAGTAATAAGTGATAAGAAATAACCCTCTAATCATGGAAAGTAGAATGAGAACAATAATCCCCTTACCGAGTACAATAACAGGCACCCGAAGAAGGTTCCATGGTAGAAACGTTGTGAATATACATTCTTCCTTCTTTCCTTTTCTTTTCTTCTTCGAAATCTACCGATCAAATCACTTTGAATCTTACGTGGTGAAGGTCAGATTTTAGATCAAATTTCAGCATTATGAACATATCTCAATATCTACGCAGATTTAATTCGATTTGATTTTTCTATGCTAAGTTTAGACAACATCCGATATATAAGCGTATCTTTTACATACTGTAAGTATTAATGCTATCACAAGCAAACTTATCTTATCACTTAGATCTATCTATCTATCTATCTATCTATCTATCTATCTATCTACCTATCTATCTATCTATCTATCTATCTGTCTGTCTGTCTGTTTGACACAATAAAAAAACATAACCGAAGTTCCTTATCAGTCATTTTTAATTATATTTATATTATTCCTATATTAATTTTTATATAAAGGTTTCCAGCATTTTCATTACGTTCTTTGGTGTTTTGTTTCGTTATTCAGTCATTAAAATATTGTCTCTGTCTTTCCATTACTCCAGTAATGGATAGCGGCTCGGATAGTGGAATCGGAGAGCCGAGTTCGAATTCCAGTCGAATCCTATTACATTCACTTACGTGCTAATACCCTTGGGAAAGCTATGAATCCTCTTCTTCTACACCCCCCACCCCGAGCTATGGGAAAATAGAAGAACAGACCGGGTTCTATAGCCTTGGTCTACCGCAGAAAGAAATGGCACCCTCCTGCGGGAAAAAAATCTGCCTCGTCAGTCATGTATCGCCTAAGCGTGTATCACGCATGCCACATAACTGACTGACTGTCTTTCTCTGACATTATATCACTTTTCAAGACCACTTTGTATTCCGGTTTTCACTCAGTGAATATTTTGAGGAATTTTCTGATATATTTTTTAACTTATTGGAATCACTGATCAGACAAGAACTGTTACTTGAACAGAAATGGGGGTTCGTTTGATGTTAAGAGACAGAGAAAAAATGCGGAATGTCGAAGAACATCCCATTCTTGTTTCATCAATATTTGTTCCGTCACCATCTAAGACAACATAGGTAGATACTTGCAGATATTTTTGTACTAAAATTAGGAGGTGTGACGTTTATATAAAAGTAACATTTAATCGACTATTTTCTTTTTAATCAAAGAAAATAGTCGCTTAAATGTTTAAGTGATGATTTATAGGACAAATTTAAAGATGTGTATTGGCTATTTTCACTACTATGCGATGTCATATCCTACAAATTCTTATTCGGCTGAGGGACAGATGTGTAAATGGAAGTGTACAGAGTTGTTTAACACGTCGCATTTTCAAGAGATTCTTGCTTTAGATGCAAAAATTTGTGGACGGGTTTGGTTATTGACTAATGACTTATTCTTTTCCAAAAATGTATTGCAGGTAATAATTTTTCCTTCAAAAATATATTGAAGGTATTAAAACTTATTTTTACACTTTCATAGTGTTTTGACTAAAGTTAACTATTTGCCCATAATTGGGACCCTAACAGGTGCTACCACCCCGAGTTAGGGTGAACATGGGAACACCAGCAATTAAAAGGTGGTTCCACGCTCCTCAAAACCTCCTGATCAGAGGCCTTGCTCTTGGTCGTAGTTTATCGTCTTACCCAGGACGCGGATGAAATTTATCGCCATACCCAGAACGGTTGTGGTCAGTTGTGTTTGTTGAAACGCAAATCGTTTGTGAGTGACACATAGTGAACGTTTTTTATATGCTTCACGATCACGAATCCTGTAACCCCTGCGGCACAACATCTATTGCAGCCAATAGCAAGGCAGCCTGAAGGGGTCCAACCCTCCCCAGGCTGGTTTGAATTCAGAGTTGCTTTCTCCTAGACTGGTTGCCAACCAAAACTATATATAGGGTCAAATCTATCCTAATATTTACCAAGAGCTGACAGGGACGAGATAGACTCATAACTTTCCTTTCCCAAGAGAATTCACGTAAGTGAATGTAATGAAGTCGACTGGAATTCGAACTAGGTTCCTCAATCCGAGCCGCTATCCATTACTCCACCGTGCCTCTAATATATATACTTATACCTTCAATCTTGTATACTTAAGCTCACTGAACCCAAGGCTCAAGAGCAACTCGTGGTAGAGGGTTGCGTGCTATGAACGTAAGAGGTAGAAGTAAGTGAAGATTATGAGGATAAAAAGAATAGATAGCCATTGGCCCTTTACTTGAAGAAGTTAAGATCGTAGTGCTCAGGAAAGAATTCACGTTCTCGGGGGGGGGATCTGTCTGAGTAGAACTTCTTCTTTACAAATGGAATACGTACAAAATGATGGTGACTCGGCGCCGTTGATGACCCCTATCTGTAAAGGTTTTAACTGACGGAACTGAAGAGTGGAGCTGATCTGAACATTTGCCATGGAAAAAGAGCAGTGATAGGTTGCGTCTGTAGGGAAAAAGGTTGTAGAGTGGAAAGTGTCATTCCCCCCATAAACGCTGGAAAGTGAAGATTAGGTAGCTCCAAGCTGGATAATATTTTTGGTGTAGTCTGACTCTTGTAAAGATAGAGCATGATAAATGGAGTCAGGTACTTTCTGAAGCAGCAGAACGAGCGGTGGATCACATACCGCAATTCCCCATGTATAATACGCATCTTTTCTCAAAAATGATAAACAAAATTAGGGGTGCGCATTATGCACAGCTACAAAAAATCTTTAAAATATTGCCGTTTCATTCATCGATTTCAGTTGCGAAATGACTACTCACCACAAACATAACAATTTGTCACTAACATTCGGCGATTGCGACCCCATAAGGATGTCAAATACAATCATATGTACCTAAGAATACTTACAAATGTAAAATAAAATAAGAATTAACATAAAACTAAATTAGAATAATATTATTCTATGTTTAAAACCATTTTCATAAGATTAGGAAATGCTGGCTGTAATGAAATTGGAGAGGTACAATCGGTAGGGTTTGATTATTTTAGGTGTGCGTATTATGGATGAAGGCATATTATACATGGGGAATTACGGTATTTCAGTTCCATTTAAGTGAACCCTTAATCCCAATAGACGTTTTGGGCCAATGCGACTAAAGAACAAAAGGGGCATATATATATATATATATATATATATATATATATATATATATATATATATATATATATATAAAGCGTTTGATAGGATTTGGCATGCTGGCCTTCTTCGTAAGCTTCAGGGATACGGCATTACACGACGATTATTTAACTTAATACAATAATTCCTGTCAAACCGTGAAATGAATGTTGTCCTAAACAGGTTCACTTCCAACTCCTTTATCACGAACGCCCAAGGCTCTATCTTGGATACTACACTGTTCCTGATCTTCATCAACGACCTTTCCGATGTCATCAGTTCCCAAGTAGGGCATCTACGCGGGCGACACTAGTATGTACTCATGCCTCAGTAAATCTGGTATCGTTGACAAAACTATCCTGGTCGCCAGTCTCGAAAAAGACCTCCAATCTGTAGTTGACTGGGCCAGGAAATGGCTTGTAATCATCAATGCCTCCAAAACGAAACTGCTCTCCTTTAACCACCACAGAGAACCCTCCCTGCTTCCCATCAGAATGGCTGATGCCCAACTCCACGAGAGCGCCTCATAGCACCTGCTTGGTCTCACACTGACCGCTGATATGAGGGGACACAAATACATAAACTCAATAGCTTCATCTAGCGCAAGGAAAGTTGGTTCCCTGTGTCGGGCCAGAAAGTTTTCCTCGTCAGAGTCCATCCTTGAAGTCTATAAATCAACCATCCGTCCTTGCACGGAATATTGCTGTCATATATGGTCTGGTGCCCCCGCTGTACGTCTCGAGGTCCTCGATAAAATCCAGAGACGGATATGCAATGTAATAGGTCCTGATCTGGCATCTCATCTACAGTCGCTTTCTCACAGACATGCCGTAGCTTCCTTCTGTCTCTTCTATAAATATTTTCACGGCAATTGTTCTGACGAGCTACTTTCGCTGGTTCCCAGACTGCATGAATTTAAGCGTGCTACTAGGTTGGCATCTCGGTCCCACCCTTTCACTGTCGAAAAAGTTAAATGTAACCGTCTCTTCTACTTAAAAAGCTTCTTCTCTCGCACTTCCCGTCTGTGGAATTCCCTTCCTCTTACTTGCTTCCCTGATAATTATAATCTTCGACTATTCAAGTGTAATGTCAATCGACATCTTCTGACACCGTCATCTTGTTCCCTGTCCTTCTCTTTATCCTCTCCCCAAACACGCCTATTTACCCTTGTTCTCTACCCTCTGTATTCCCTTGCGTACTAGAAGCGCTCCCTCCCGCTTTACTTGGGGTGAAATGCTTAAAAAATATATATTTAGTCAGGATTATAACGACATAATATAGGTAAGCTAAACAAGATATAGCTGTAGTCTTCAGTTAAGAAAGAACTTAAAATGCTGAGGGATTGATATTTTGCAAGAAGAAAGCATGAAGGCTAGTTTCGTTACTGGGTTAAGCGCAGTTTCATAATCTCGAGGAATAATCCCGTGAAAAATGATAGTTTATGTACCACCCAATTAAATTAGCGGAGCGCGTAACGCTGTCGGCGAAGATAATGAAAATGATAGCTCGTTTATTGAATCGGTTGCATTTAAGTCGTAGAAATAATTGGAATAATCAGTTGGCATTATTTGGTCAGCTTCAAGATTATCAATCTCATTCATAATTATATCGACTTAGAATAGAAAAGAATATCAAGTAATGTGGGGTGGGTATGGAATTCGGGTATTGAAAGTATGATAGCTGGAGCTTTGGAACGAAATCAAATCGGAGAGAAGGTGGAGTTTATGAAAAAATAGTGATTGTTAAAATCAAATTCATACTGGAAAGATCTATCTATCTATCTATCTATCTATCTATCTGTCTGTCTGCGAGAGAAAGTCGAAAATAATCTGCACTCTTATATAAAGATATGTTATAACGAAAGTGCGGGTAAAAATAGCAAACAAAATATCTTAGTCATGTTCATTTGAATTTTCTTTCTATCTATCTATCTATCTATCTATCTATCTATCTATCTATTTATCTATCTATCTGTGAGAGAAAGTAAAAAATTATCTGCACTCTTATAAAAAGATATGTTATAACGAAAGTGCGGGTAATTTTTTGATTTTCATAAAATATCTTAGATAGATAGATAAACATAGATAGAAAACAAAATAGATAGATCACGGATTAGATTATCTATCTATCTATCTATAGTTTGACATATCTATGTATCTGTGAGAGAAAGACGAAAATGATCTGCACTCTTATATAAAGATATAACGAAAGTGCGGGTAATTTTTGGCATACCTCGTATCTTAGTCTGTTTATATCTATCTATCTATCTATCTATCTATCTATCTATCTATCTATCTATCTATCTATTCTAGAAAGTCGAAAACAAATTAAAACTCTTATATAAAAAATATATTTTTAACGAAATTGAAATAATTAATTTTTAATATAAATCCGTATCTTAAATAGATAGAAATTTTATTAACAAAACTATCTATCAAACAATATCTAATTATCTATCTATCTATCTATCTAGAATGTGAGAGTCCGAAAATTTCTTTTCTTATATAAAGATATGTTAAAACGAAATTTCGGGTAATTTTTGACAAACAAAAAATTTAGCCTGTTCATATCTATCTATCTATCTATCTATCTATCTATCTATCTATCTATCTATCTATCTATCTATAGAATTATTATCATATCAATCTCTCTGTATACATCTCTATTTTTATATACCTGTTTCTATTTGCTGTCCGTCTATGTCAGGCTTTTCACGTTCAACTATCTCTCATCTCCATTTGCCATTTCTTCCGGAAGACTTTCATTTTTACTTTTTCCTGCTCTTCCCCCTGTCCACCTTTTAGCAATAATCAGAACGTGTAGTCAACGAAATCTGAGGAACCTTTTATAGAAACTAATTCTCTGGTTAACATTGCAAAACGTTTTTTTTTTTTTTTCATGCGCGTAAAAACAATAAATAAATAAACAGGAACGCGCCAAACATTTTATCCATTGCCTTTTCGCCCTTGAACGATTTTTCTTCGAATGGACATTTTATGTTTATTTTACTGAATTACTTACTCTTTGTTTAAAGGGAGATTCGCAGTTCTGTTGTGCCAATTTTCTTTCAATCCTTTCCCATTTGAATTTCTTTATGGTGTTTGCCTTGTTGGCTCTCTTTCCGGAACGCTTCTCTAAAATTGCATATATGGATTAATGATAAACGGAAGACACTTACAAAATTTCAAAAATAAAGTGGAATACAGACGTACATATGTATACATGCGATTAAACAACGCCAGAAATGTTCTTAGCCGAACTAAGAGGTCTTTCCCAGAGAATTATAATGCTTTCAGAAAATTTGGAAAATATACCGATATATTTATAGTTATATCGTATATATATTTTTGTGTAAATTAATTGAAACAAAACGAACAATTTTGTTATTATTTACTTTTTTTTTCGTATTTTTAGAATCCCAGCTATGGGCAAATAGTTAACTCCCAAACTGGGATCAAAACACTATGAAAGTGAAAAAATAGTTTTTAATACCAGAAATACTTTGTAAAAAAAAATAAAATAAAAATTATTACCAGCAATACATTTTTGAAGAAAAAATTACCAGAAATACATTTTTGAAAAAAAAAAAAAAATAAATAAATAAATTCCAGCAATAAAAATTATCGACTGGAGATCCAGTGACACAACCCAAAGAGTGTGAGTTCAATATCAAGTGAAGGGCCCGGGAAGAGAGACTCCCTTCCACGCATTCAACCGCAAGCCCATGGACTTGTCGTGCTCAATTGAGATTGATATACTGTAAAATCAAACCAAACTAAAACCAAATCAGTCTTTCTGTATGGCAAGGAATGCTGGACACATATGCAGAAGACACTTGAGGCAACAGAAACGTGCTTCCACATAAGGGTATTAGAATACCATGGTCTGAACATGTGAATAATAAGGAAGTGTTGATGACAAGGGAAACAATAAGGACGCTTATACTTGAAAAAGAGAGTCGAAATTTTTAGGACACATAACGAGGAAGGAGGACTGGAGAATTTAACACTCACAAGGCACACTAAAGTCAAAAAGAAGAGAGGGAAACTGAGTAACCGACCTAACAAGCTTGTACAAAACCGATACTGGGAGTCATAGTTAAAAGATAAAACTTACTAATAGCTACAAAGGATAGGAAGTTGTGGAGATCCATGATCGCTAACGTTCTGTAGGGAGACGGCACATAGAAGAAGAAGATGCATATGCTAAGTATGCTAGTGGTTAACGGCGCGGAACGTGGAATCGAGGAAGAGTTCAAATTCCGGCCTAGTTAATTTCGCACTAATGCTTTTGGAAAAGGCATGAACACATCTCTTTTCATCAATAATTTGGATAGTAGTAAACACTCGTTACTACAGCCTTAGGTGTCATGTAGTCTAAGAGAGCAATACAGAAAATGTATTCACGAACATGTAGAAAATTTAAAATATGATGAAAAAATAATATATATTATATTTAAATTTGAATTTATAGAACGCTATAAAATATTTAAAAATATCTTAGAGGTAAGGAAATAAATTATAGATCACTATAAGAAATATATATATATATATATATATATATATATATATATATATATATATATATATATATATATACTTATTTATTCGAAAATTATGACATAAATATGTTTTTAAAATCACTACAAAAATAGCCATTTTGTTTCAACACTTCTGGTGTCTTATCAAGTCTTGATGTTAAATGTAGAATAAAGGGTTTTAAAAGGTTCAAATCACTCAAACACCCCTCGCTAGGGAAAACGCTGTTACATAAGTTAGAATGACCAATCAAAATACAAGTATACAAGGATTCAAAAACTTGACAACGAACTAAGGTTATCATAATTATTTAATGCTTTAATGTTGGGGTTAAACTAAAATAGAATTTATTCTAATAAATATTAAATTATACGATAAAATTTGAAATTAAAAATTAAAAACTACCTATTTTAAAATTTAAATTTGATCTATATTAATTTAAAAATTATAAAATTACCGAGGAAAAAAGAAAAAAATACATATGTTATTCTATTTATTTTGTTTTTATTGAAATTAAGTTGGAATAAACGTTAAGATCAAATGTTGCTGTGAACTTCATGACAACATAGATACATTTGAAGGATAAACAGAGGCAGGGGAGGATGTCATCTTGCAAAAGACAATACATACACAATCAGATTATAATACATAAACACGCAGACGTATTTAGATATATACACACACAAAAAAAGCGACGAGACAGGAAGTATCTCCACGAGCCTTTAAAAAAACAAACAAACACGCAACATACATACACAATGAAAGGTACACACAAGTGATCATACACACAGACACCGATAAAGATACGTACATACACACACATACATTTACAAAAACACGTCGATACACCTACCAAGAAATATTCAAGTTTGAAAGTGTTATTAAACGAATTCTAGCCACTTATTAAAATATAACTTATACGGTCAAATATACAGAGAAAAAAAATGGTAGAATAGATAAAATTCAACATAGGCAGACAAGATGCTTTTATTTAGTTTTTTACACAATTTCTCACGCGACCTAATATTTTTTTCTTTTCAGATAATAAATTATATAAAAACTGTCCGTATGTTCTTTTTTTCCGAGCGCTTTCGGCTATACATTTAGCCATTTTCAAGGATTAAATATTTTAACTGTTAAATAAGAAATAGTTTGTTGTATGCATGTTTTATAAAATGCTTTCATTTTTCAAAACATAGTCAAAGAATTAGGATCCATGTTTAATATTAATATTATTACTGGTATTTGGCTAACATTTTATTGATAACACAATGCTTCATCATCTACATGCAAAAAAAAAAAAATAATGGAATATTTATTAAAAAAAAAAAAAAAAACACTTAATAATATCAACTATGAACATGGACACAATATCTTGACCGTGTTTTGAAAAAAATGAAAACATTTTATAAAACATACATACAACAAACTATTTCTTATTTAACAGTTAAAATATTTAATCCTTGAAAATGGCTAAATGTATAGCCGAAAGCGCTCGGAAAAAAAAGAACATTCGGACAGTTTTTATATAATTTATCATCTGAAAAAAAAAAAATTATTAGATCGCATGAGAAATTGTATAAAAACTAAATAAAAGCACCTTGTCTGTCGTATTCAATGAAATGTGCATGAAAGAAGGATTTATTTATATATAATATATATATACACACATACACACACACATATATATATATATATTATATATATATATATAGATCATTATTTGAACATATATTGTTAACTGTCTATGTTTCTGAGATGAGGTATTATGTACATTATTTACATTATTCGGACTATTGTCCTCATCTTTGCCGCCATATTTATTACAACGTTTCGGCCGTTGTACAATATAGGCCTTCTTCAGACTTAAATGGAATGTCGAACTGAACCCTTCATTTCGCTCACTGGGATAGACTGTTCTAGTTCCACATGCCATGTTTAATGGATGTCAGTTATCAGATATCTCCAATTAATTCCCCTCTCCAAGTTCTCCACTGCCTTAACCGGGTATGGTACAGTAGCTAAAGGCGTTAGTTAGATCCAGTGACAGAACCCAAAGAGTGTGAGTTCAATATCAAGTGAAGGGCCCAGGAAGAAAGACTCCCTTCCACGCATTCAACCGCAAGCCCATAGACGTGGTTGAGCTTGGCTCCTATCACCTTTTTCTCACTGAACAACTATGTGTTGAATTTCCAGTAGCCAGCCATACTTATCCTCGGCTTAAACGAACCCGGACTTGCCTATGGTTCGAATAAACTATGGTGTCATGAATTGGACTGCATAAGAGCCCTAAGTCTACTCCTAAGATTCGGTCAATGTAGCTTGTACGCAACACCGAAGCTGAGATGCTCCTATTACTTCAATTCCAAACTACCACTCAAGGAAATTCATCAATGAACTTATCGACAAGATCCTACCTATCTGCAAAGTACCGAAATGGCTTTACATCAGGGTTGTTAGTACCCTATATCTATATCGGGATCGAGGCCGGCATTCTAGTCACCCGCTAAAATTGACCGAGGGATCGATCCGCCTATAAAATGTAGCCCGCTCCCTGGAGTTATTGGGCGCATGAACCCTAATGAGACGAAATACATGATCTTTTATGGTAGCGTCCACTGCACAAAGCCTGTCCTCGAAATTCACGAAGAAAAGCATGCATACAGCATTTAAAGAAGGGTTCCAGAGAAAATGCCTACCGCGTGACTCTGAGCCAAGTAGAACGAGCAAGAAATGATCGGATGCATACCTTGAGACACCTGCGGTCGATACAGAAGACGAGATAAAGACATCGAGGATCCGCGAAATTTTCCAGGCGCTAAGAGAGTTATCACCATCATCAGAACTGGCTCGGGGTCCCTGTAGCGATGGGGACTGGTTGAAGAAGCTATCAAGGGCATTGATATTACACCCCCATTGGCAATCTGAGAGAATGAAGAAGGCAAAAAAAGGTTGAGGCATTTCTTCTTGGGGTGGGGTCCCAGTTTTTGTTCACCTCTCTCTATATAGAGCACCCAAACTAAGATTTCCGTAAGATACCAGGAATCTTGCGATTGATAGTCTCATAAGGAATGAAATGGGCCATAGGACAATGGTGAAGCTGTCGGTATCCTTATCCCGAGAATGTTTAAGGCAGACGGGCAACTCTATGAAATATGACAATATCACTCTTTTTTATCGAGGCTGAGGTCGGAGTTACGTAGATTTTAATAACCGTGGTTATACCGTGATGATGGATTAATTATAGTCGATAGAAGTAACCCCAGAAAATGTGATACAATGCGGAAAAAGCTGCATTGGCTCTTCAAAAAATTTGGATTCAACCTAGAAATTGAAACTAACCTTAAAGTCACTAATTACCTAGATATAACCTTAGATATACGTGATGGTACTGTTACGTCGTTTAAAAAAGATAACTAGGACCCACTATATCTAAATATAGAGATCTAACCACCCGGCGTATATTCTAAAAAATATTTCTAAAGGCATTAGTTAGAGACTTTCTACCAATTCATCGAATAAAAACATCTTCGATGCTAATAAATTACTTTACGAGCAAGCTCTAGCCAAAAGTGGACACAAAGATAAGCTAGAATATATTAAAATAAATGATGACAATGAAACCCAGAATAAACATAAGAAAAGACATAGAAATATATTATGGTTTAATCCCCCATTTAATCTATCTGTAAAAACTAAAATCGGTAAAATATTCTTCAATCTACTGGAACATTTCCCAAAGACTAGCAATCTACATAAAATATTTAATAAAAACAGCGTAAAACTAAGCTACAGTTGTATGCCAAACGTACCGAATCTAATTAACGGATATAATAATAAAAAAAAAAATAAGGGATAATATATTTACTTCTTCCAGATGTAATTTGTAAAAACAAAAAAAACTGCCCCCCTTGGGAAAATGAAAAAAATGAGTGCGTGGTGTACCAGGTTAAAATATATAACGACATAAATGACTATAACAATGATATAAACCCTAAAGTATACATAGGAGCTACTCAAAAAGGGTTTAAAAAAACGATATTAATATCATATAAGTCGCTTTAATAATGAAAAAAACAAACATAGCACTACATTATCTACCTATATATGGAAAATCAGACAGGATATTCACAAAGATCCGATGGGAAATATTAAAAAGATGTTCTAAATATAGAGCAGTTTATAAATTTTGTAAACTATGTCTTGAAGAAAAATTAGCTATAGCTCTATATAAGGAACCTAATCAATTATTAAATTCGAAAACCGAAATTCTAAATAAATGTAGACATAAAAAAACGTTGGTTGTTAGACTAGGTTTCCTCTCCCCACTATTAATATTTTTTTTTAAGTATTTTTTATTTTATTTTATTTTTTTATTTTTTTTATTATTTATATTTTTTATTTTTTTATTTATTTATTTTTGATTGAATAAATAGTTCCACCCTGTTGATCCAAATAAAAAAAATTTTTCAAACCCCCCTTTTTTTTCGTCAATTTCAAGAATAAACGGAAAATTCCCTGACCCTCTTGGTTTTTTTTTTGTTTTGGTCACCTGGTTATGGTTTTTTGTTTATTGACTATATATTCCGTTCTCTTTTTTTTGACCTTGTTAAATAGCCTTCCTGACGATCCGCTTAGGTAAAAACCTTGGTAGGTTTGTCTGGCTATAGGTTTTTATATATATATATATATATATATATATATATATATATATATATATATATATATATATATATATAGATGGAATGTAATATATAGGTGGACAATGTAAACCAATTTATTTTTCTCACTAAATTATAGCCATTTTTTTTCCTACGTCAAATAACAATATTTTGCATTTATTTTCTCACGTACAAGTCTTATTGATTTTTTGACAGATATTTATTAATTGGCAAATATCTATTTTAATTTTATCAACTGTTAAAACTTCCCCAAAATTTCAAATTAAGCATAGTTTTTTTTTAAAGTAGAAAAGTTGCCATGGTATCGATTTTTCCCGATGATGTTCTTACTGAACAAAATGTTGGCAACAAAATAAAAAGGTAAACATCTAATTGTTTTTTCCCTTACTCCATCTTCCCTGTGGTAATATCTATCTAATCTCCCAGTCTGTTCATGTCTCTATATGTTAATATCTACATAATCTCTCTCTCTCTCTCTCTCTCTCTCTCTCTATCTATCTATCTATATATCTATCTATATATATATATTAATATCTATCTAATCTATCTGTTCATGTCTCTATATGTTAATATCTATCAATCTCTCTATCTCTCTCTCTTTCTCTCTCTATCTCATCTATCTATCTATCTATATATCTATGTTAATATCTATCTAATCACCCAGTCTGTTCATGTCTCTATATGTTAATATCTACATAATCTCTCTCTCTCTCTCTCTCTCTCTCTCTCTATCTATCTATCTATCTATATATCTATGTTAATATCTATCTAATCTCCCAGTCTGTTCATGTCTCTATATGTTAATATCTACATAATCTCTCTCTCTCTCTCTCTCTCTCTATCTATCTATCTATCTATATATCTATGTTAATATCTATCTAATCACCCAGTCTGTTAATGCTTATCTATGTTGATATATATATCTAATATCCCAGTCTGTTCATGTCCATCTATGTTAATATCTACATACTCTACCAGTTTGTTCATGTCTATCTATGTTAATATCTACAAAATCTCTCTCTCTCTCTCTCTCTCTGTTAATATCTATCTAATCACCCAGTCTGTTAATGTTTATCTATGTTAATATATATCTAATATCCCAGTCTGTTCATGTCTATGTTAATATCTACATAATGTCTCTCTCTCTCTCTCTCTGTCTCTGTCTGTCTCTCTCTCTCTCCCTCTCTCTCTCTCTCTATCTATCTATGTTAATATCTAACTAATCACCCAGTCTGTTCATATCTATCTATCTATCTATCTATCTATGTTAATATCTAACTAATCACCCAGTCTGTTCATTTCTATCTATCTATCTATCTATCTATGTTAATATCTAACTAATCACCCAGTCTGTTCATTTCTATCTATCTATCTATCTATCTATCTATCTATCTATCTATCTATCTATCTATCTCTGTGTGTGTAGGTCTGTGTGTGACAACTTGGTGAAGTATGGATGAATATGAATTCGTATGTAAATGACAGAATTTGGAAGAAAATGAACAACATTTCTGCGAGTTCCACATGCCATTTTTGCAAAGAGTTGGTTCAATTGTTTGACATGTTGATCCTTTTTGGCGTCAGCATTTTTGCGTCATTTTACGTCCATTTCTTTGAAAGCGACCTGATTGTTTGGGGATCGAGAGACTTGCTTTCAAAATTCCAATTAACCTTTTTCGTTCTTCTTTACGCTCTAATTCCCTTCTTTATATGATTATCGTATTTTTCTCTCTCATTTTCGACAGACGATAGTTTGAACATCACCTCTGTTCATTTTCTCTTTCTTTTTGCATACACGAACCCACTCGCACACACACACACACACACACACACACACACATACACACACACATATATATATATATATACATATTTTAAGCGATTCACCCCAAACAAGGCGGGAAGCCACTAGCACGTAAGGGGTTACAGAGAATTGGAGTGAGTCCAAATAGGAGTGATAGAGGAAAGGATGAAGAGAAGGTTAGGGGATAGATCATGGCATCTGGAGACGTCGATTGACATTACATTTGAACAGTTGGAGATTATAGCTATCAGGAAAACAGGAAAAGGGGGAGGGAGTTCCACAGGCGAGAAGTGCGAGACATAAAGCTATTGGCGTAGAAGAGCCGGGTACATTTAACATTTTTGACAGTGAACGGGTGAGAGCCCTATTGAGCGGGTTACACATAACCCCCTCACTGGTATTTGGCATTATCTCCAATTTAGACCCCCACAAGGCTAGTGGTGGAGATGGCATACCAGCCATTGTCTTGAAGAAATGCGCACCTGAGCTCGCGCCCGCCCTCTCTAAACTGTATAATTACTGCCTCAAGGAATCCTGTTTTCCTGACTGCTGGAAGTCCTCATCCATTGTTCCTGTCTTTAAGAACTCTGGAGACCCCTCTGACCCCTCTAATTACCGTCCTATTAGTCTCCTACCCCTCTTCGGCGAAGTCTTCGAGCCCTAATCAACGCCGAAGTGGTTAACCAGTTTACCTCACACGACCTGCTCTCAGACAAGCAATATGGTTTCCGCTACGCCCGATCTACAGCTGATGTGCTTACGGCCATCACTGAAACCGTCTACCAAGCCCTTCAAAATAACGGTGAGGCTCGTGCCATTGGCCCTAGACATCTCAAAGCATTTGATAGGGTTTGGCATGCCGTCCTTCTTCGCAAAGCTCCAGGGTTATGGTATTACAGGTCGATTGTTTGATCTAATACAATCATTCCTGTCAAAACGTGAGTTGAAGGTCGTTCTCAACGGATTCTCCTCCAGTTCCTATCCCAGGAACGCAGGTGTTCCCCAAGGCTCCAACCTTGGCCCCACTCTATTCCTTATTTTCATCAACGACTTTCCTGACGCCATAGATTCCCAAGTTGGCATCTACGCGGACGACACTACAATTTACTCCTGCCTAAAAAACAAATCTAGTGTCGCTGACAAAACTAACCTGGCCGCTCGTCTTGAAATGGACCTCCAATCGGTTGTTAATTGGGGCAAGAATTGGCTGGTCAACTTTAACGCCTCAAAATCTAAACTACTCTCTATTAATCACCATAGAGATCCTTCCCTGCCCCCCATTAGAATGTCTGATTGTCAACTTCTTGAGAGCAACTCTCTGCGTCTGCTCGGTCTCACGTTGACTGCTGACCTGAGATGGAACAAATACATTGAGTCAATTGCTTCGTCCACCGCGAGGAAATTTGGCTCTCTGTGCCACGCCAGGAAATTTTTCTCCCCAGAATCGATACTTCATATATATAAATCAACCATTCGCCCTTGCATGGAGTATTGCTTCCATATATGGTCTGGTGCACCTTCTGTTTACCTCGGAGTTCTTGACAAGATCTAGAGACGGATATGCAATATAATTGGCCCTGATCTGGCATCTCGTCTACAGTCACTCTCTCACAGACGCGCCGTCGCCTCTCTCTGTCTTTCATGGCAATTGCTCCGATGAGCTGCTTTCACTGGTTCCCAGACTTCATGAATTCAAGCGCCCTACGAGGCTGGCATCCCGCTCTCACCCTTTCACTGTAGAAACTTTTAAATGTAGCCATCTCTTCTACTCCAATAGCTTCATACCTCGCACCTCTCGCCTGTGGAACACCCTTCCCTATTACTGTTTCCATGAGAGCTATAATCTCCAGCTATTCAAATGTAATGTCAATCGACATCTCCAGTCGCCTTGATCTATCCACTATCCTTCTCCTCATCCTTTCTTCTATCACTCCTATCTGATCTTGTTCTAAATTTTCTGTAACCCCTTGCATCCTAGTGGCTTCACGCCTTGCTCGGGGCGTAATGCTCAAAAAAAATTATTAGCTGACACGTTACGTCTAATGTGGACTTTCTCAAGGTAAAAACGAAATGACTTTGTTGAAAAGAAAGTAATTATTAAAAGCAAACAAAATGTCTTTAGCAACTAGATGACTTTTTTGCCAATATCACCTTTCCTAACAGAATTATTACTCTCCCAAGCCAACGTACACAACTATATCAAGAAATCAAAAGAAAATGGTTGAATCCGTCAAGACAACAATAAGAACATTATTTCCACACGTGATATTACTTGACGTAATTTTCAGTTGAAAATATGAGTACAATAGCGTTTTCTAAATTCTTTTAGTTGCTAAGGACATTATGCTTTGTTGTTAATAGTTACTTTGTTTTTAATAAATTCATTTCGTTTTTGCGTTGAAAAAGTCCATATTGGACGTAACGTATCTATCTATCTATCTATCTATCTATCTATCTATCTATCTCTATCTATATATATATATATAAACCTTATTATTACCTTCTTTGAAATCGGACGAGACGTGTTTGTGGTGCTTTAAAAGGACTCTAAAATGGAATTACTACTCTCATCTATAGTTTAGAATTACTACTGCTACACATTACAACTTAGAATATAAACCCTGAGAAGTGCATAAATAACGAAACCCTTGAAAATGGCTATTGAATTGGCCGAAAACGCTGGGTATAATAATCCCTATGGAGAGTTTCGACACACACACTTTGTCCTCATAAAAGAAAAACTGCAAAAACACTAGTCTATATTTCTGAGATGGTATTTTGTACACTATTTACATTATTCGGACTATTGTCCTCATCTTTGTCGCCATATTTATTACAACGTTTCGGCCATTGTACGCTCCGGACTTCTTCAGGCGGTTGGAATGTTTAACTGAACCCTTTATTTCGCTCACTGAGGTAAACTGGCACAGTGGATAAAGGCGTTAGTTAGATCCAGTGATAGGACCCAAAGAGTGTGAGTTCAATACCCGGTTCAGGCAGTGGAGAACTTGGAGAGGGGAATTAACAGGAGATAACTGATAACTGACATCCATTAGACATGGCACGTGGAAGTAGGACAGTCTACCCCAGTGAGCGAAATAAAGGGTTCAGTTCGACATTCCAACCGCCTGAAGAAGGCCGGAGCGTACAACGGCCGAAACGTTGTAATAAATATGGCGACAAAGATGAGGACAATAGTCCGAATAATGTAAATAGTGACCACTAGAGAAACTAAAAAAAAAAAAATCTTATTAAATATCTTTTCTCAGGGACTTATTGTCCATGTCATGGCGTATATTGAAATGTTAGACATGGTGGTTACGCTCTGGAGCGAGGTGGTGGCCATACATGTTCTAGTAAGACATCGCATCTCCTCATGGCAGATGTAAGCAAGGAGTGTTTGAATGAAAAGTTTTACAATCACCCTACTCTTGCTGGTCATCTACCATTCCTGATTTGAATTAAATAGACTACTACGTCTGAAAGAATCCTCGAGAGGGAAACTGAATAGCAGTCTCACATGACTTCGTTTATGACTCATTTAAGGCCACCATCATCTACCTGAGAGCCAACATGAACAAGAACCAACATGAACGAGAACCACCAACGTTTGTTCCCGACGCCATTTTCATGGGTGACGACGTTTTTTTATTCAATAAGTTTCTACTGCTTATCTAAGTTAGACCTGTGTACGAGGTTTTTGGAAAATATACCGATTTATTCTGTGGTATATTTTCGTTTTTCTTCAGATTATAACTTGTTCTTGATTATGCAGTGAAACCAGTACATAGTACTTGCATTGTATTTATATTGTATTTACATTGTAGCAAGCATAATAAATAATGTAGAGATGATTTAAAGCACCGGAGATTTTCGCAGATCAGATAAAAATCTTAATTATTACAAATAGTATACAGCCCATTTATAATATAAAGAAAGATATTCGTAGATTATATGCAAATATTAAGTATTATAAATAATTAAGCTATGAGAATATATTTGTAGAATATATGCAGATAATGTTGTGAGGATTTAAATTATACCAAATATTCGTAGATTATATGCCA